AGGGATTTATGAGAATATGAATAGATTTTTTGGAATTGAAGCAACACAATTTGTTTCTTTTGTACCATCATCCTTTTTAAATAAAATAATAGAAAATACAATTAAAACAATATATTAAAGTAATGGAGAGGCAATTATTTGTTTAGAAAAACACAGTGAAGTTTAAAGCATATTAAAAATAGTTGTAAATAGTTTTGGAAATATTTTTTTTATAGAAGTTTACGTATTAATAAGAAACCTAAACAATTTTTGTACAAAAAGCAATAGAAGAACTTGTGCTTACCACATATAAGCACGAGTACTACATTGGGCAAAAAGTATTCGGTGTATTCGGTGAATTCATTTGAATATGAAGTACAATAATTTTAAAAAGATAAGCTGCTTCTAGTTTTCTTTTAATTTTTGTTGAAAATTTCACTACCATTATTAATTTGTGCTAAATATTTTTACAAGACTACGATATGACTTTGTTTCACGTTGGGATCTATATTCTCGCGCCATTTGATCTACAATATTTTCACCTTGTTTGCGTTTTTGTTATCACAACCCACCAATTGCATTTTCATAATGTATATTATAACATACAGCAATGCTTAAGGTTTGCTGTAACCACCTCTTTGGAATGCATATGGGAAAAATCAGAGAACAACCTCAGTCCAGTACTGAATGGCGAAAAGGGGAATAGATGGGCATAGCATTTAGCAAGTTAAATTTATCGAAACAAAAGTGTCAAGAGTTAGGTCAGCAAGACTTACGATGAATTCGTCTCGTCACATATATCGTTGCACTTGCGGTGTTTTTAATTAAAATTAACGCATAAACTACAGCTATATAAGCTAACATAACAATTTTTTAAATAAATGTTTTTTCAAACTTCAACACTATTGCTTGCAGAATTAATTTATCACAAATATATATATATATATATATATATATTATATATATATATAGAAATATATAGATATATATATATATATCTTCATATTTTATGAACTATTTATGTAATTAGTTTTGCTGACAGTCACTTAAGTTTAACACCTCAGATACGAGTATTTGTTGGGCATTATCTCATACATATGGTTCCTATAAAATAGTATATCTTATCTAATATAAATGCTTTCCCTTGACTTAAAAATTAAAAAGTGTTTATATTTGATCATATGAAGTATTATCTGAAGTGGTTAATTTCTAAACATTTCAAAATGTTAGATTTTTTCTTGTAAATTAATATAAATTTAATTGATTATAAAATATTTTTTTTTTTCTAGTTTTTTATTTTTCGGAAGGTACAACATATTTTTGACAGATAATCAATAATTGCATTTTTTTGATAAAATTATTATTTATTTTCGATTTAATGACGTATTTTGAAAATTTTAGAATTTACATACTTTAGGTTCGAAATCTCTAAGCGCCATAAAACGTACTATAACCATAAATACGCTTATCATTTTATAACTTCAATTAAATGCACTCTTCTCGATTCACATGATCGCTAGACCAATCGGAATATCACGTGCTTTCTGGTATTTAAAGTGTTACTTTGCTCTATCGCAAATCTACGAAAAGGTGACTTATCTTATCTGGAAACGTCCAATCATGCCAAAATTCGTTCGATTGAAATTTAAATACATAAATTGAAACAAGAATTTAATTGAATTTAAATGGCTTAAGTCAATAATAAATTGTGTGAGCTTTAAATAATCGTTCCGACGTAATGGAATTAGAATTGCTTAGATTAACTCAGATACATATAGGTATATGGTATGTACAATATATAATCTGTATTATATTGATAGAGTGATATTATGAAATATCATATTATAATAAATATAAACAAGTGATATAAGTATGTATTTATAATTGTATCTTTGCAAGCGATTGTACTCGTATCAAGTTTTCTCAGATACAATCTAAAGTGCCGAGTTTCTGTGCTGAATATTTACTTCGACTGTCATTCAACGGTTAAAATTTATGGTTACTTTTCTTTCGAAAAAAAAAAATTTTAATTAACATATTTTGTGTTTCAATAAATAACTATAATAAATAAACAAACAAAATTAAAAAAATTCTAAAATTTATTTTGGTTTATTATGAGGGAAAGTTTTAAGCCACATCACTTCATTTGGCATGAGAAGCATAAGAAGCATGAGAAGAGAAACTACAAATAGATGAACAAATAATCAACTTTGGAAATGTTCAATATTAGCTGGACTAGGGCAACTATTTCGCTGCGCGGTCATGCCATAAAATTGAACATTATTTTTATGCAAACTTCTCGTCTTAGATTCCTTGTCCTCTGTCCTGTTGAAAGCAACTCAACTGGGATTACTTACATTCAGTCCACTCAGCAGTGCACTTCTGCGAACTTGACTTGTAGAGTCAATTCTGAAGCACACTGACTGCTGCTTTCAGCCACTGGCTGGCTGCCTTTTTCACAGAGGCAAAACGTTCTTCCAACTTTTCGGTTCCATACTTTTTTCTTTTGCACTCGAGTAGAAAATTATAAAATATTATAAATTCTTCTCTTTAACCAGCAGCTTGAGTGGATAGAAAATACTTGAATATTACAACAGAAAAATGGAAAACAGAAGAAAAATATTTTATTCTTTATAATAAAGAGAAAACATTTTTATGCGCTTTCAAGTCGAAAAAAGGCTGTGAGCAACCGCGTTTACAAAAGGATTGGAGCATATTCCAGTTACTGGGATTTATTTAATAATTGAAACAGTAAATACTTAAGTGCACTGCACTCATTTTCGGTAAATTATAAAATGGAATAATATTTCAAAGTAATAGAGAAAGTACGAAAATATAACAAACGAACTCTTTCAGAATTGTTGTATGAAGCATTTGTGGGGGTTTCCATTTTGGCAGATTTATTCACAAATGTTAGTTTTTGTTTTGGACATAGTTTATTTAGGAGTTAAGCACAAAAAGCGAAATATTTTAGATATTATTTGTCTTTCATATGCACTTTAATATATACGAAGGGATTAAGTTAGTTTTATTGAACCTTTCCATTATATTTTCAGTTGACCCATATATAAGGATTGCAACAACTATTTGTAAAATGCTGAAGGCATAACCACATCTCTAAGATATTTCCAATGTTCACCCGAGATTTTCTACCATATGCCCATATCCCGAACCAAGAGTAGAGAAATGTTGAATTGTGTCATTCAGATATGTGTAATAGTAGAAAACCATATTTAAACCCTTGACTATTTGATAGTATAAACATATTTGAATGCAGGAATCATTTAAACTTCAGTTTCTCTAAAAGCCATATATAGAAAATATATATCATATTATTGGCGTATGCTCGATTTTCAGAGAATATAGATATGTTCTTTTTGAAGCACTTATGTTATGCTCAAAGAAGTAGTTAAAGTCTTGTCAAACGGTAAATTTAGATTTTAAATTAAATATTTTTAATATTTTTTTCCTAAGCACTATACGAATTTCTTTGAATCAATAATAAATAATAATTAATAATACTCTTAATTTTGTATAACGCGACTGAGAGAAGGTTAGCAGTTTTCGTACTTATATGTACATACATACATACATACTTATAAAGAGGTTAAAATCTTTATCTTTAATAGGTTAAAATCTTTAAACACTAATATTTGATTCTGTCTAAGTATTAACTAAAATTCATCTTCAAAATGCAATTATTAGTCGGTGGTCAGTGAAACAAGCAGCAGAAGTAGTTGACCTATTAAGATATTTGTTTGATATATTTATGCAAAATCTGAGTGATAAATTATTAAC